AATTTAAAATCATTTAAGTAAATATTAAAAAAAAATGATTATTATGAAATATTAAATATTAAAATGTTCTTTTTTGGTATCATAAAAACTATTTTGTATATTTAAAACTACTTTGGTGGAAACAACAAGAAAGAAATTTGCTAAAGCTATCAAGATTAGCAAGAAAAATATTAACAATTCCGCTAACTAGTACCTCTTCTGAACGAGAATTTAACATTGCTGGAAGGTTTTTACAACAAAGAAGCATGTTTGAATCCATAAAATGTTGATTCATTATTATTTTTGCATTATATTTTTAATAAGTATTTTTGAATGAGTTTATGTGATAGTTGATTTTCTGACCCAGTCTCCGGCAATAAGATATTAAAGAATTATATTATAAATTAAAAATTACAATAAATATATTAACATCTCATAAGAACGATTATTTATTCGGATTATACTTACTGATCGCATCAAGTTGGGGATGAGTCAACATAAATATATTATTATTAAGATGATTTGTTGAAATAGAGATACTTAAAAAATATTTTAAAATTTTTTTGGATATTGTAAAAGGTGGTTAATAGGAGGCTAATTTTTTGAAAAAAATATAGGAAACCCTTGTAAAAACACGCTTTGAAATTCTAATTTTAAATAAAATCAGTTTTCCGAAAATAAAGAGGTATTTAATTGTTTGCCCCATGAATCTTTTTCTACTGTTCAACTACACTGAAATATTAATAGAATAAATTTTACAATATAGATTTTCGCTTTTTGATTTAATAAAGTTCATAAATAATGATTATGGCAATTGTCGCTTTCCTTTGTTATATTCTTCACTGAAATTTTAATTTAACATGTGTATAATATATTTTTACCCATTTGCTTTAAAAAAAATCAAAAATAACGATTATGACAATTATCACTTTCCTATGGTACATCTTCACTGAAATTTTAATTTAACATGTTTACAAATATATATTTTTACCCAATTGCATTAAAAAAATTCAAAAAAGTTCAAATATAACGTTTATGACAATTGTCACTTTCCTGTGGTACATCTTCACTGAAATTTTAATTTACCATGTTAATAAAATCTATTTTTACCCATTTGCCTTTAAAAAATTTAAAAAAGTTCAAAAATTACGATTATTACAATTGTCACCTTCCTATAGCACATCTTCACTGAAATTTTAATTTAATAAGTTTACAATATATATTTTAACCCATTTACTTAAAAATTTATGGTACATCTTCATTGAAATTTTAATTGAACATGTTTAACAATATATATTTTTACCCATTTGCCTTAAAAAAATTCAAAAAAGTTCAAAAATAACGATTAGGACAATTGTTACTTTCCTGTGCTACATCTTCACTAAAATTTTAATTTAACATGTTAACAATATATTTTTACCTGTTTGCCAAAGAAAATTCAAAAAAGTTCAAAAATAACGATTATGACAATTGTCACCCTGTGGTACATCTTCACTGAAATTTTAATTTAATATGTTAATGTTAACAATATTTATTTTTACCCATTTGCCTTAAAAAAATTCAAAAAGTTCAATAATAACGATTATGACAATTGTCACTTTCCTGTAGTACATCTTCAGTGAAATTTTAATTTAACATGTTAACAATATCTATTTTTACCCAATTGCTTTATAAAATTCAAAAAAGTTCAAAAATAACAATTATGACAATTGTCACTTTCCTGTGGTACATTTTCACTGAAATTTCAATTTAACATGTTAACAATATCTATTTTTACCCATTTGCCTTAAAAAAAATTCAAAAAAGTTCAAAACTAACGATTATGACAATTGTCACTTTTCTGTGGTACATCTTCACTGAGATTTTATTTAACATGTGAACAATATATATTTTAACCCATTTGCTTTAAAAAAATTTAAGAATAACGATTATAAAAATAATCATTTTCCTATGGTACATCTCATTGAAATTTTAATTGATGTTTACAATATATATTTTTACCCATTTGCCTTAAAAAATTCAAAAAAGTATAAAAATAACGATTATGACAATTGTTACTTTCCTGAGGTACATCTTCACTGAAATTTTAATTTAACATGTTAACAATATATTTTTACCTATTTGCCTGAAAAAAAATTCAAAAAAGTTCAAAAATAACGATTATGACAATTGTCACCCTGTGGTACATCTTCACTAAAATTTTAATTTAATATGTTAATGTTAACAATATATATTTTTACCCATTTGCCTTAAAAAAATTCAAAAAGTTCAATAATAACGATTATGACAATTGTCACTTTCCTGTAGTACATCTTCAGTGAAATTTTAATTTAACATGTTAACAATATCTATTTTTACCCAATTCCTTTAAAAAAATTCAAAAATAACGATTATGACAATTGTTACTTTCCTAAGGCACATCTTCATTGAAATTTTAATTTAACATGCTTACAATATATATTTTTACCCATTTGCCTCAAAAAATTTCAAAAATAACGATTATGACAATTGCCACTTTCCTGTCTTCACTGAAATTTTAATTTAACATGTTAACATCTATTTTTACCCATTTGCTTCAAAAAAATTCAAAAAAGTTAAAAAATAACGATTATGACAATTGTCGCTTTCCTTTGGTATATCTTCACTGAAATTTTAATTTAACATGTTAGCAATATATATTTTTACCTATTTGCCTGAAAAAAGTTCAAAAATAACGATCATGACAATTGTCACTTTCCTGTGGTAAATCTTCACTAAAATTTTATTTAACATGTTAACAATATCTATTTTTACCCATTTGCCTTAAAAAAATTCAAAAAAGTTTAAAAATAATGATTATTATTATAAGTTAACTTTAAAATGAAATGCCGAATAAATCTCACTAATCTATTAATTGATAAATTTTACTTTAATATTATTTTATTTAATAATTTTATAAAACAAGCCAAAAAAAAAAATAATAATGGTAATTTTTATAAAATTTCTTATTCTTTTATACATACAGAAAAATTAGAATATAAAAAATATAACTAAAACATATTCTCGTCGAATATAAACATTTTTATCAATATTCAAAAAAAATCCTTTTTAATTTATTTCTTTACTTTATTCAAATTTACGACACCCCTTTCCTCAGCTCTCTTCCCCTAAGGCAACAGTATCGATTCATTTTCTACTCCTCTAAGCGTTTTTTCCGGCATTGTTAATGTTCGTTATTTATAGTCACGAGTTGATTACTGCAATACCGCATCAAGTGATCACCCACATAGTCAACACTGTCGGGTTCTTGGTCTATTGTAAGGATGATTTCTATTTCTAATTTCGGCTCTTGCACTTGGATGTTCCCTTACTTCATTGATCATTTCCCCATACAATCTGGTAGCTTCTTCTTTCGCCAGTCTTAGCCAATTCCGTGATATTATCGATCCGTCTATCATCCTGATTTCTATTCTTAGGATATAATTTCCTACTCTAATATATATGGACATCTACAAATAAAATTACTATGCATCAAATATTATTCTTTCTATTCTTCTATTCCTAAAACTTATCTTTTATGACCAAAATTTGTTTCTTCCAACAAGTTTTATTCCTTCTTCTTTTTAACCATCAATTTTGTTTACTTCCCAAAATTTTCCTTTCTACATACAATTTTGTTTTCTTCCCAAAAATTTCCTTTCTTCAATCAATTTTGTTTTCTTCCCAAAAATTTTCTTTCTTCAATCAATTTTGTCTTCTTCCCAAAATTTACCTTTTCTATATACCTTCTAATCTCGGCCGTATTTACTTTATATGTCTAGGCCATACACCTACTTGTCCTTCAATTTCTATTTCTACTTTCTTTTTTCCTATGTTTTTCCTTATCACACCCTTCCCCCATTTAATAGGACCATCAAACAATAATACCCAAACAGACTACCTACTGGATATTTCTCAATTTCTATTTGTTCTCTACTTATCTCTTTTTCCTTCAAGAAATCTAATTCCGATCTCATTTTTCTTCCTAAAAATATTTCTGCTGGTGACATTCCTTTTGCCGTCTCTGAATTGTTGTATGCTAACAACGATAACCACCATTTTCCTTCTCCATATTTTTCCAACCAACTTTTTATTATCGCTACCATTCTTTCAGCTTGTCCATTATTTCTTGGATAATATGGTGGTGAAATTATATGTTTAATTTTCCACCTCTCACAAAATTTATCAAATGCTTTACCTTTAAAAGCGGGGCCTCCATCTGATACTAACGTTTTCATTAATCCATACTTCCATACAAAATCTTTTATCTTCGCTAAAGCTACTTTTGTGGATAAACCCGTAACATGTTGACACACTATCCACTTTGACCCTGAGTCTACCATAATAAAATATTTTTTCTCCTCGTATTATAAAAAATCTACTTGTACTCTTTCACACGGAATGTCTGTTACTGGCCATTTATCTTCTTTGTATCTTTTTGGTACATTAGCCCACATGTTACATGTATCACAACTTCTAGCCACTTCTTCTATTTCACTATTCATCTTGGGCCACCTTGCGTGCCTTATTTTTCATTCTCTCTATACCTTGATGTCCTGCATGTACTGCTGCTAAAATATTTTTTCTTAATATCAACGGAATCACTAAATGATATCCATAAGACAATTGTCTTCCATGTTTAATTCATTCTTAACCTTTTTGAATGCTTTGTCCTCAATTTTCCATTCTATGTCTCCTTTCAAACATGCTTTAACTCTCATTAATTCTTCATTTTTTTGCCTCTACTATTTCAAAAGTTATAGGTTTTTCTCTTGTATCTATTTTCAAAGCTCTTATTACTATTTAATTCTCTTCTTCTTCTATAATATATCTGGTAAGCAATTTTGTTTACCCGCTCTGAATTTTATCTCAAAATCGAAATTACCAACTAAAATTAACCATTTTTGCAATCTTTGTGAAATCATAAGTTCCTTATTTTCCTTCCTGAATAAATCTACCAAAGGCTTATGATCAGTATATAAAAACCTTCTTCCAATCAGATATTATTTGCACTTCGCTAGCCCAAATTTCACAGCCAGAGCCTTCTTCTCGATTGTGGAGTAATTTTTCTCAGTGCTACTAAATCGTCTCGATAAAAATAAAATCGGTTTCTCAACATTATCTGTCATCTGTAATAAAGCTCCTCCTATACCTTCATTAGATGCATCTACTGCTAATATAATATCAAAATTCTCATTAAAACTATATAAAATCGGTTTCTCTACCATCTTTATTTTCAATTTTTTGAAACTTTCCTCCTGTGCTTCTCCCCATTCAAATCTTTTATTTTTCTTTAATAAATCATACAACGGTGTCGCAATTTCTGCAAAATTTTGAACAAACCGATGATAATAATTCGTAGCTCCTAAAAACGCCTGTACTTCAGTTTTATTATTTGGTGCTCACATGTTCATTATCTTATCTATATTCTTTGCAATTGGAGTAATTTCATTTCCCTTTATTATATGTCCTAAATACTTTATTTCTCTTACTCCAAAGACACTCTTATCCATATTAGCTCTTAAACCATTTTCTAATATTATGTCTAACACTTTAACTAATCTAGTATTGTGTTCTTCTTCTGTTCTACCACATATCAAAACATCATCTAAATAATACATTACTCCCCCTATTCCTTGAAATAATGCCGCCATAGGACTTTTAAATATTGGAGCCGATGCTTTCAAACCAAATGGTAAACGACAAAAAGCAAATAATCCTCTATGCGTTGTAATCGTTAATATTTTACTTGTCTTCTCACTTACCTTAATTTGCAAGTAAACATTAGAAAAATCTATTTTCGAAAACATTGTTGCTTCTTTTAAATTAGCCAATAATTGTTCTATTCAAGGTAAAGGATATTTTTCCTCTATCAACCACGGGTTTTACCGATACTCTATAGTCTATACATAGTTTTAATCTGTTATCCTGTTTTCCTATGGGAACTAAAGGTGTTGCCCATACAATATGCACTATTGATTTTATTATTCCTTCTTTAAGCCATTTGTCTAATTCTTTATCTATCTCTTCTATCCACGAAAGCTGTAATCTTCTTATGCCGCAAAACTTAGGTCGATAATTTTTTTCTAATCGTATATCTACTTCAAAATCTTTCAGAGTACCTAATTCCTCTTTAAAGACTTCCTTGAAATTATCCTCAACAATATCCAGTTCTACCATATTCTTAATTGCTTGTTGTTTGATTTCGACTGAATCTACCTCTATTGTCCTTATATTTCCTATTTCCTTATTTTCTTCTATGTTGCTTCTATATCTAATTAAAAATTCTGGTGTTCGATTTTTCAGTTTATCGAGAACTACTTCATGTTTAACTCCTAAACAAGGTAATTCTCCTCTTCCTTACTTCTTATTATCTCTTTAGTTCTTTTGTTGTTCTCCCGGATATCTTCAAACAAAGTCCCCCAATTATAATCAGGACCAATATTCTTAATTTCATTCCAACCTAAGATAGGCTCTATCTTTAACGTAGTAATCCATATCGTTATCTCTTTCTTTACTTCTACCAATTTAATCGTATAAAAACGTAAAATCTTAACTGTATTACCGTCTAATTGTTTCGCTATTATTCTTCTAGCTGTAAATCTTTCTTTTGTAAACCATTTATTATAATCCATCAAACTAATCTTGGCTCCTGTATCTAATAAAAAGCATTCTTTACTTTCACCTATTCTTATTTTAATCCTCGGACATTTATTTCTCTTTATCATCTTTTCTAATTCAATTCTATATATATATATTCTGTTTCGATTTCTCTTCCATTCATTTTTTCATTTAAATTAATTATACTTGTTTCATTTATACTTAATTTATAATTAAAAAAATCAGACTATTAAATTTATTATTTATAATATTATCCTTAATTACATCTAGTCATTTATTACATCTCTCTTGTGAATGACATTCTAAACCGCACTCAGAACATTTCAAACATCTGTCAAAAAATTCTCTACAATTCATATCTATATGTCCGTTACGCCCAAATTTTGTACATTTAAGCTGCCTAGTTAACTCACATTGTCGTGATATGTGTCCTTGCTGACCACAAGAAAAATAAACAATTGGTCTATAATTATTTACTTGTCTAATCCTATCTTCATTTCTTATCATATCTTTAATCTTTTCTACTTCTTTATTCTCAATCCTTATATACGATGTACATCTTCCTATGATTAAGCCTAATACAAAACTAACAATTATCAACGAAATTAAACATATCCCTACGTTATCCATTAACAAATACAAATTCCACAAATTAATCTGCATAATATACATTTTAGTGTGCTTAACAAAAATCGAATTATAACTAACTTGAAATTAATTCTATATATAATCCAAATAATTAAACTAAGTATTACAATGTAAAATAAATTTATCATTTACCTTTTTATCCTTTTTATTACGAATAAAATTGAGATTTTATTGGACAGTTGGGATAGAGCTTTAGTCTGAAACTTTAAATAGTTCGTTCCATCTATTCGACACCAAATATTATAAGTTAACTTTAAAATGAAATGCCGAATAAATCTCATTATTCTATTAATTGATAAATTTTACTTTAATATTACTTTTTTTAATTATTTTATAAAACAAGCCAAATAAATAATAATAATGGTAATTTTTATAAAATTTCTTCTTCTTTTATACATACAGAAAAATTAGAAAATATAAAATATAACTAAAACATACTCTCGTCGAATATAAACATTTTTATCAATATTTAAAAACAATCATTTTTAATTTTTTTCTTCTACTTTATTCAAATTTACGACATATGACTATTGTCACTTTCCTGTGGTACATCTTCACCGAAATTTTAATTTAACATGTTAACAATATCTATATTTACCCAATTGCTTTAAAAAAATTCAAAAAAGTTCAAAAATAACGATCATGACAATTGTCACTTTCCTGTAGTACATCTTCACTGAAATTTTAATTTAACATGTTAACAATATCTATATTTACCCAATTGCCTTAAAAAAATTCAAAAAAGTTCAAAACTAACGATTATGACAATTGTCACTTTTCTGTGGTACATCTTCACTGAAATTTTAATTTAACATGTTAACAATATCTATATTTACCCAATTGCTTTAAAAAAATTCAAAAAAGTTCAAAAATAACGATTATGACAATTCACATTCCTATGGTACATCTTCACTTAAATTTTAATTTAACATGTTTACATAAAAAGTTTAAAAATAACGATTATGACATTTGTCAATTTTCTGTGTTACATTACATCTTCATTGAAATTTTAATATAAATTTTTTTTTAATATAAATTTTTACCCATATATGTCAAAAAAAGTTTAAAAAAAATACGATTATGAAAATTGTTTGTACATCTTTATTGAATTTTTATTTTAATTTAACATGGCTTACCTACCCATTTACTTCAAAAAATAATATCATAAAAATAATAATTTACTATAACATTATAAAATATGAAGATCTTTGAAGGTCGTTTATCTAAAATATTTTTAAATAAAAGATCTTCAAATTTTACGCTCAAAATTTTTAAAAAATAAAAGATCCTCAAATTTTACGATCTTCAACTTTTTATTTTGAGCAAATGTACAACTCATAAAAAATTTTCAAAAATAAATAGTTTTAAAAAATTTTTTAAATTATATTTTAAAATTTTTGCAAATTTTTTTTAATCAATATCTGTTGTCGAGGTCTTCAATCCATTTCTGTTTTTCATGAATATTAACCCAAATCGACCAATTTCTTGCTGAATAAAAAGCGAACTAGGAATTATTTATGCCACTTCTTTTAATGCGCAAGTGGGCAAAACCCATTCTACTAACTTGGGGCCGAAATCTGATTATTTCTTATGGAAGTTACTACTTTCCACATATTTCCATTGATAACACTTGAAATATTTTGATCATCACCTTGTAAAATGCCTAATTCTTGTTAAATGATAAACTCACTACACTACTATAAATTCCGCATGTATTTATATCGTTTTTTATTTTTTCAAATAACCAGGTCAAATACTCTTTAGTTTAATTGATTGAATTTGACCAGTCAATTGACAGACAAGGTTTATGAGTATGAAATATTTCACATATGGAATCTTCCTGTTTATCATCGTTTATATTCTTTTCATAACATTCTTTAACTTTATTTTTTGCTACTTTTTTAGATTGATAAAAGTTAATAATTATAAATAGAAAAATATGATAACAAAATTAATCCAATATTATAAATTTTATCAAATCATATAACTTTTTTGTTTTTGAGTTTCACTTATTTCATATTTTGTAAAACTTATCATTTTTGCCCTTTTTTCAATATTATTTCCTGTTTTATATAGAATGAAATAATAACATTATTAATTATATTAATACTATTTTTTTTTACCTGTTTGTTTAAGTTTGATTTAGTATTTCTGATTCTGACTGAAAGGAATTCACAATTTTTATTTTTAATAAAATATTACTAAATTAAAAACGGTAAGAAGTAATTCAATATTTTTAAGTTTAATAATACATTCTTTAGTCTGATTTTGTATGAGAATAATTAATTTTGATAAGTTTTGTTTTGTTACATTTCTTAAAATATAAAAGTTAAATTCTTAAATATAAGTTTTACTATATTTAAGAATTTGAGTTTCAGAAATATCATTTTTTTCCCATAAACTAACTAATCCATTAGATAAAATAATTGATTAATTTAAAAATACATTTAGAAAGATTAAAATAGATTATAATCTAAAAATAATAACCAAAATAACTTATATTTTATGAGGCTGCTATATTTTAGCCGCAAGCTGACGCTGTTGGATCTTTAAGAATAGTTTTGACTGGAAAGATTACGGGTGGCAGACTATATTACAAAACTTTTGGGAACGATTTGAAATAGTTGATAGCAGTTTTCTTTACTCTATTAGGGGAAATGATTTTAAACAATTTGATAAAAAGGTTTTCGGTGGTAGATGGGTATTACAAAATCTTTTTGCTTAATTTTGAAATTAAGTGATGTCAATTTTCCATATATTCTAAGAGGGAAAAAGTTAAATTCATAGACTAATACTACTAATGTGTATTGATTCAAATTTGTAATGATGGATTCTTATGGTTAGATTTTTTAGCCTGTTTAGCAGCCTAAGTGTCTTATAAATGCTATGATCTTGTCGGAGTGTTTTAAATGCGTAAAATTTTCTATCATCAGGAATAAAATGGATCTGTAATAAAGTTCTTAAAATTTACAATTCATAAGGGCAACAAGAAATTTTTTTTAAAGAAAAAAAATATCAAATAACTGTAAGTATAATTAGCATATTCCTTTTCTTAATTAAAAAATATTTATTTTCTTGAAAATTTATTTCTTTTCTTATTTAAAATTTATTTCTTTTCTTATTTAAAATTTATTTCTTTTCTTAATTAAAATTTATTTATTTTCTTAATTGAAATTTATTCCTTTTTTTCTTAATTAAAATTTATTATATTTTTCTAGTGTCTTTTTAAAAAAATATATATATTGTTCTTTTTAAGATATCTTATTAAATTTATATTAAGCAATAATTACGAGCAATTTAAACTTAAAATAATTAGAACATTTGTGATACCTCAATATTTTAAAAGTTATTTTAATATTGCACTTTCCTAATCGAAGGCAATTGTGATACTACGATTATGACATTTGTCACTTTCCTGTGTTACATTACATCTTCATTGAAATTTTAATATAAATTTTTTTTAATATAAATTTTTTTTAATATAAATTTTTACCCATATATGTTAAAAAAAAAGCTAAAAAAAAATAACGATTATGAAAATTGTCTGTACATCTTTATTGAATTTTTATTTTAATTTAACATGCTTACTAACCCATTTACTTAAAAAAATAATATCATAAAAATAATAATTTACTATAACATTATAAAATATGAAGATCTTTGTAGATCGTTGATCTAAAATATGTTTAAATAAAAGATTTTCAAAGATCTAGATCTTCAAAGATCTCGCTTAAAATTTTTTAAAAATAAAAGATCTTCAAATTTTACGCTCAAAATTTTTTACAAATAAAAGATATTCAAATTTTATCGAGGATCTTTTTATTTTGAGAAAATGTACAAATCATATAAAAAAAATTCAAAAATAAATAGTTTTAAAAAAAAATTTTAATTATATTTTAGAATTTAGGCAAATTTTTTTTAAATAAATTTTTTTTTATGGACTAATTTCAAATGAAGGATTTATATTAAAAGTATCGAAAGCTCTAAAAAAAGCTTAATTTTATAATGAAAATGTACCTAAAAAGCAAGTTTAATTGTGTTTAAAAATTTCTAATTGATGTTTTTGCTTAAGAAATAAAGATTCGCGGTTTTCGTTTGTTATGATGAGAATTTTTCGAGATAAAGTTTTTAAAAAAATATATGTAGACTGTAAAAAGTTGCCTTTAGTTGAAATGACTATTGGCTGAAAAAAGTTATTTAATTTTGAGTATTTATTAATTTTTTATTTTCCCCACAAGTAAAAGGGTTTGTGTTAAATGATGAAGGAAAAGATGATACGCAGGTTGCATCCCAAATAAGGGATTTCCCATTGGACCAGGGGGTGCAGGTTAAGCCATCGGGTCTAAGACCGTCTTGTAATGAGAGGTTGGTAGGTTCAAGGATGTTGGGTATTTTAGCCTTATTAAAAGCGTTATGTATGATTTTATTAATTGCTTTATGCTGTAGATGGCGTCCTTGGCTGCGGGTGCAGTTTAGACCGTGTCTGGCTTTAAGTTGAACGGGTAGGCTGCATTGGTGGCAAGAGTGTGAATGTGTAAGCGAGCATCCTAGTCAAAGCCTATAGTAACTTTCAGTTGGTCATTGGTTAAGAGATTATCTAAGGTTAGGCTTGGAAGTGCTTCGAGCCATTCATGCCCGCTGTATTTGTCGTTGTTTTGTAATAGTTTTATATCGTTGATTTCGGTAGGGTTAAGACTATTTTGTAATTTTTTTATTAGGGGGTCGATGATAGATTTGTTAAAGATTTCGGTAGGAAACGTATAACCGTCTGGGGTTAGGAGATTCCATCTTTCTATTGCTGCTGAAAGAAGATCATCATGGGGAATTATGAATGAAGAGTTCGCAGAATTGAGCGATAGGCGATTTGATATAAATAGAGAAAAGGAAAGTAGTTCTAAGGGGATCAAGTCGATTCCACCTAGTTTAGCGGGTAATTGGGCTAGGTGCCAATTAAAGTCTGATAATGAAAGATTGAGGATTCTTTCTATAAAGGAATTTAAGCAAATATTGTGTTGAATGAAAAATTTTGAAGAGGTTAATGGTGAGGATGAGTGGAAGAGTTGTGAAATTTTGGGATAAACACTTTTTTAATAAGTAAAAAAGCTGGTGCGATGGAAAGTGGTTGATGAATTTTTCCAAGTTTTGCATCTCAGAAAAAGTTTTATCGATAATTTTTTCTAATATATTATTATTCAGTAATGGGGAGCCCAAGAGTTGGATATCATCTTTTCGATGATAGTGTATTCTTTAAATAAATCTAAGGGAATCTCGGGGTTGAGAAAGCAAATTTCTGTTTTAGTTTTATTTAATTCTAAACCTATTTTAGGGCATTCTTTTTCAAGGTAGATAAGAGCTTTGCTTATTTGATGTGGATTAGCGTAAAGGATGCTATCGTCAAGGTACCATAGGTTTAGGTCGAGATCAAAATCAGATTTAAGATCTTTCATCATATTATGGATAGCTAAGCAGAAAAGAATAGGGCCGAGGGGGTCGCCCTGTTGTACTCCCTCTTCAGATTATATAACGCTACCATTAAAGATGAGGGGGGGGGGCTATTGTTATAGCAGATGTCAATGAAGCGCGGATATTGGGGGAAATTATCGAAAAAAGATTCAAGTGCCGATTATAAATTTTTAAACACAATTTTACCTGCTTTTTAGGTACATTTTCATTATAAAATTAAGCTTTTTTTAGAGCTTCCGATACTTTTAATATATATTTTTATTTAGTTATTTTACAAATTTATATATTGTTTTTTAATATATTAGTGTTTTATCATTTCTTTTTAAAATTATATCAATATTTTACAAATTTGAATAAACAAAATAAAGTTTTTAAAAAAAAAAAATTTGGGCATAGACTTATATTTAAGTATCTATTTCTGAGACTTCATATTTAAAGAGTATATAGTATATAAACTTTTGTATAGATATTTATAATTCTCATAATATTAGTACTATTTTAATTCAATGGAAAATTTATCTAATATCCACAATATCATACCTTATAAACTCACTTATCCTATAATTAAAAATTAAAGACTCATGAATGACACATTACTAGATGATTTGGATGATATCAATGTGAGAATGCGAAAAGATATAAGAATTAATAGGCCCTCTATTATTTCTGAGATATTTTCTCTGCCCTCTCTTCCGCACCAGCCAATTTCTCTTAAACCATTAAATGCCACCGATGGTGTATTAGTACATGCAAAAAAAGATTTAAATTCCTTTAAGAAGATACGTGAATCAGATTTAATATACCTTTCATCTTCCGACGACGAATTTGATTTAGATACATTTAATTCAAGTTAATTTAATTTATTTCACCTTTAATGTTATAATTTACTTTAGATAAAAAGGCACATGTTTTAAAACATCTAGGAGATGTCAAAAAAGTAATTAAATATATATATATATATTAATATTAATAATTTTTAGAATTCACATCACACAACTTCAGATTTATTAAAACAAGATAATATTCAAATTTTAAATACTATTTTTGCTCAATGTAATCATAATACTAATATCCAAACATTGCCGATCAACTTATTAGATGAAACTAATAATATAACATTTGAAATAAACAATGCTGATATTCTAATAATCAATTCAATCTATTCACTGACTTCAGAGGTGGTGCCTTTTGATCATAATACAATTAATGATTATCTAAATATAGCCTTTATTAAAAAGAAAGGAAGTTTTCATAAAAGAAAAATAATTGTTAAATGTGGCAAAATATTAATTTATGCTAATAATCATACAACACCTGACTCCCCATCCAACTTATATAAGCTTTTGAAAAATTCTAATATCACTCCATTAATAACAATTCATTGTGCAAGAATATTTTCCATTGAATCAAATGCAAATCAAACTTCAAACGGAAAGTATGTTTATTTTATATATGAGTTTATCAAAATAGATTTCATTAATTTATAATAATTAAAGACTGATAAAATATTAATCTTAAAATATTTACACTATGTTTCACTATAAGTCGTCAATGATGGTGTTGCATATAACAACTTTTTTTTTTACTACATAATTTTTTTTATCATTACCAAACATTCTCAAATTTTAATTAAGACTCATCACATTGTCCATATGTTGCATTAATGCAATATCCATTTCTTAGGGACCTGTGAAAATTTTTTTGATAAATATGGGGATCAATAGTAATGAGTGGAAATCAAACCTTAAATTATTAAAATAATAAATTTTGCTTATATTATATAAAGTGGTTATATATGGAAATGCATTGGAAATAATTTTTCATATAAATGGAATCTAAGTAAATATATATCAATTAAATCTCATGAGTTAATTATAATCAGGATTGGTCTGTAACAAGAATACTTATATTCAAAATACTAAATACAAATTCTTTTTTTAATAAGTATTATTTTATTACAAATTGAATTTTAAATATATATCCACAATTTATTTAAACATTAAATCTGTGACTTGGGTTGACAAAAAAATTAACATGTTATCTGTTTAATCTTATTCTAAAATGAGTATTTATGAAAGTGAAAGTGATAGTATAAATTTTTTTGAGGATGATGATATAGAACTCATTAACATAGTCCACTTTGCATGTCACATAACAATTTATGATTCAAAATACAAGAAAACCTTTTTACCAACTCTCTCATGCCCCTATTTTAAAAATAGATGGGTAGCATTTAGTGAGAACCTTTTTTTATTTGCATCACATACTTTTAGATAAAGCCATCTTAACTCAAAAAGAAAATGAGATATAGGTCCAGGCAAATATCCTATTCTCTTTTGTTGAAGGAAGGCAATTATTTTAATTTTGAAAATTCTTTAAATGTTAATCATGTTTATAACAATGTAGAGTTGGAAGTATTAAATTATTTAAAAGATGAGCATTAAGTTTGCTCAATTTTATAAATTTAAATGGTTCAAACTTGAAAAACTTATATTAAAAATAATGTTTCATTTTAATAAATAATTATATAACATTTTCCCTATTTTTGAATATGGAATTTATTAAAAATTTTGCTAGATCTTTGCCTTATTTTATTAAATGTTATGTTATACCAGTGGCTTATCCAGGATTTCCCTATAGGGGGGGATTTTGGGGGCTTTGCCCCCAAACCCCCTTTGGCCAGCTTTTCCCTCACCTTCGGCCGGGTCATATCTTTGAGCTATTCTTTTAAATTATTCATAATTCAATAATAATTATATTAATATTTTTAACTTTTAATTGAATTTTGGTTCCTTTTATAAATTAATTATTTAAGAAATTTTTTTTTTTTAATTTTTAAATTTAACATTTATTAATAAAGACAAATTAAACCTGACAATATTATAAAAATAAAATCATGTCCAAAACATAATTCTAGAAAATTCAAGAAATTTAACAAACAAAGACTTCATAATACAAAGTATAATAATAGATATAATGGGAATATAATAAATGGAAATGATTATATGAAGAAGAAGGGGGGGGGGATTTTAAATAATTTAGGGAAGAAGAAAATCAAGATTAATCGGCTCCTCGGGGAATTAACCTATGGCATGTGAAATTAGATTTTATAATCTGAATTCCTATGCGTTGACGTAAGTAGACGCTTTCTTTTGGGTCTCCTGATTTATTTACTAATTTGTGCTTATGAATATAAGAAGAAATAAAGGTTATAACCCAATTTTTATTTTAAGTTAGGTATATTATAAATAATTTTTTTTAAAAAAATATATATTGAAATAAAGTTTAGTGTCAATTTTTTTTTTATAAAATTTGCTTTAAAAACTAGCCTCAGCTTAAATTCTCATACAATATAAATATAAAATTTTTTTTATTGAAAATACTAATTGTAGTGTGTATAAAATATTGACTAGAAAATTTTTTAAAGAACGAGTTTTTATAACTTATTAAATACAATATTATATAAAAAATTTATTAAATACTAGAATTATAATGCGATTTTTAATTTTCGTGGGAATTTTTTTAATTCATCAAGAATTTTCTTTGTCGTTGGAATTAAATCTCTGTTGATATTTAACAGAGCTAACCCATTTAGCCGAGAAGTAGTATTTTGTAAATAAGTTTTCAACCTTCTCATTTTGAAAAAAGGTCCTTCATTCTTATATGTTGTAATAGGCAAACATGCAAGAATATTAAATACCTTCAAAATATTTGGAAATTAAGCCTCCTTATACCGATTGAGCGCATCAATAGCATGCTCAGGTAAAATAATAAACGTAGTAAATATTTATACCACAATTCGAATTCACTGATTAAATTGATTTCAGTATCAATATCATAGGAATAAAATTTTGCTAAATATTTAATTATACCAATAATGGCATCAGAAAACGAAGTAGGGTTTTTAGGTAATAAAATTTGAAGATTACCAAAGACTTGTTTTTTATCTAAAAACCGTACTATCATTTGCGATAAAAAAGTATCTAAGAATGGAATGAAATTGGATATTTTATAAGATTTAGTTTGATTCAACGTCTATATAAATATTATGAAATATTCAACTACATTCATTCTTCCTGTCCACATTTTCATCCAAATCAATAACTTGAACTAAATCGAAATTTGGTTTTTGTAAATTTCTACATAGTAGTGAGCTATAGGAAAATAATTTATTAATGCAACTAGCAGTAAAAATAAACTCTGCTTGATATTGAAAAAAATTTTGATGGGGCAGGGGGGGAGGGGGTCAGGGGAAATTTTTTTATTATCTTAAAATAATATTTAGAAAAACAGTCAAATTTGCTATGGGGAGTGAAATTTCCCCCTATCCTCTCCATTGCTTACGCGCCTGTGTTATACTAACGATTCTGTGTCTACAATATAATTTATTTTATTTTTAATTATGCTCAAATTTTTGTCTTATGATGTTCTGTAAAACTGTGCAATTAATGATATTTGCTATTAACATAATTTATGTAATAGGCTGCTACAATAAATATATTTTTAAATTACATTTGTATTACAGGAATTTTTTCTAATTTAGATCAAATATGTTGATTTGATTTAGGCCATTTTAAAAAAAACATTTCATTCTCAGTTTTTTTATAAAAATAAAAATACTCATGCATTGCATATGATATTCAAACATAACTTGGCATTTTATCATAAAATTTTTTCTTTTCTTTCATTTCTCTAGTCTTATAAAAGATTTCACCAAACCTAAAAATATAATATAATGAAATTTGGCCATAACTCAAATAATATTTTTTTTTTCAAGCATTTACAAGTATCAAGTATGATTTTTAAAATTTTATGTAAATATACCTATTTTCTTAAGTGCAGATTTATCCTGTTATTAGCATCATACAGTATCCATCATCAGGGCTAGGAATATAAAAATTATTTAAGATAATTATTTTTAATTGCAATGGTCTCTTAAATCGTCATTTAAATTCTAAAAATTAAAAAGAAAACATTCGAAATATGAAACACAAAGGATTAGATGATGAATACATAATTTTAGAGATTGGCAAAATATATGTATATAATAATTTTAATAAAACGATAATTATTAGCTATTTAGAAAATTACCATGGATTAAAATTTATCTTTTTATTATATTTAAAATTATCACATCATATTTATTAATTGATTAGAATGTTCTATTCTTTATATGTATATATATTTATTTATTATTTTTAATTAATAAATACAATTTATTTATTTTTTTAATTTAAAAAAAAATATATATTAAAAATGTCATGTAAACTATTTATATAAAATCTATATAAAAAACTGTATAATAAAAAAAAAAAATTAGTATAGTAAATTGTATGTTGGGTGGGAGGAGGTCAAGAAAGAGAGCCATGGATGGCAATGCAGTTAGATCTGCATATATCAATAGATATGCGCTGTCTGAGATAGAAACCTTCCTGAGGGTCACCAGTGATGGCGCGGATTTTTTTACCGAGGGTTTTAGAAGGTTAGGGCATGATTGCCAAAAGACCCGGTTGTGTCGGAGACGATTGGTATGAGATGTTAGGGAAGTGTATTTATTAATTTTCGAGTTTTCAGCTCGTATGAATGAGTTCTTATTAAAGGAGGGAGCAAATCGGTCGATGTAGGTATAGTCCCATGCTAATGGAATTCCATTACTCCATGGTATTAATGTCAGCCCATCTGGACATATATTATTCTCGGTTGAGAGGCCACAGGGTTCGAGGGTTGCTGGAATTTGAGCTGAGCGTAGAGCACGGAGAATGGTGCCGTTAACTGCACTGTGTCGAGAATACCTTTAGAGAATCGACAATGAAGATGATGATGTCCAAAACAATCAACGGGTTGAGAACATAATATACATGTGGCCAGTATATTACAACCAAGACGGAGACCTATTGCTATGCGTAATTCTTCGTTTGTTAAGAGAAGTCCTAAGTTTGAGCTGGGCAACGCTTCTAACCATTCATAGCCCGATAGGGAAGGCAAAAGTTGTGGAACTTGCAGTTGTGAGAGAGAGAGAGATGATCATTAAGGATTCATCAACTGTAATGGGAGATAATAAATGTGAAAGGATTGATGGGGATCCCTTAGAAGCAGCACTCGATATTAGATATTCAACGGAGTGGCGTATTAAGGGAAGATCCCAGTCATGTTGCTTTCGTGATGTGGGGATTGGAGCGGAGAAGGAATTCTCTTTCCAGATTGCTAGGGCGTGGGGAAAGTGGAGGTCTGTGGGGTTATTGTTAAGTGATAGCATAATTAAGCGGGAGCTTGATTCTGAGGCTAAAAAAGCAGCAAGGCTGAGTGACGCGGGTGATCTTAAGCCAAGACCCCCAAATTTCGAGGGTAAGGAGGCCTGCATCCAAGAATTAGGGCTGAATTTTATATTAAGGATGCCTTCTAAAGAGTCTTTGATTGTGGATTCTATTTGGGTGA